TTAGAGCTTGCGATGGCCTCCTCGACATTAGACAGAAAAATGATACGCTAAATGAAAGCGAGCCTATTTCGATCTCCTTCACGCTAAGGGTATCTAGACGTCTTTTATCAACAAAGATGTTGTCTCCCCGCTTTCACGAATTGGGTATTCCTAGTCAAATTTGATTTCCCGGTATTTTTGTCATCAATTACTTTTCCCTTCAAAATTCCAATTTCAATCGTGCAACTTAACTTGTATCAAACCCCGCGTTTTTCGTCTAAATGAATTTTCCCTTCCTAAGTGACATCTCAATGGTCCCACTTTCATGAAACCCCCGTCATCAAGAGGAAAGGAAATTATTTTCTTGTATCGTCACAACCCCTTTTTATCGCTCGGAGCTGAATTTAATTCCTTTTGAGGCGAAATTCTCTTTTAAAGTAAGTTTTTTGCAGTCTCGTTCTTGCTCGTGATTCGTGGGGGGTAGTGGAAGAACCAAGCTAGGGATGAGCGCGCTAGCTGATCGTAGACCACCGTTGTTTTCTTCCTTCATTTCATAGCTTTAGGAAGGAAGGTTTACTTTTTGGTCGTTTACTGGTATTAAAATGATTGTGTTTCTGCTCAGTGAGACGATACAGACACAGAAGGTTTAAGCTAAGCCTCAGGGGCAGTCTCTCTATCAGGCCCTGCTGCTTCAGTCTCTTTCTCTTTATCCGCATTCCCATACTAACTCTTCCCGCACTCTCTTCTAGCATTAGCTCGTTTAAATCTACTGAATAGGAAAAAATCCTCCTTCCTATATTAGTATAGGTGGGGTAGAAAGGTTGAGCGGAGGCAGGAAAATTCGTAAGGTAGAGTTCCTCGGCCTACTCCTTCGTTTTTTAAAACGACCAAAAGCACTAGGTGTGATCTAGTTCTTGTTCGTATAGTCTCAAAGTCTGCTTATAGAAAACGAGAACCCTTCACGTATGAGATTGCCTGTGAGCCTTGTGCTTCCCTTTACAGAAGGACGAGGTAAACGTTCTTCTTATAGCTCTTGCTCAACTCCTTTCGTAGCTTCGTTCCTTCTTTTCTCAATATGATCCTTCATAGATGCTAAAATTTTACTATCTCATGGAAGGGGGTGGGAGCTTAACGCCCTCAAGCAAGCCCTTGACTTCGCGCCTGCTCGGACCAAAACTAGATAATTCACATTCTATCAGCCGAGAAGGGCTAAGAGCGAGGAGTGGTCCGCTTGAAGCAAGCATCTTACCTATTCGCGCTAAACCAATTCGTAGAAGAAAGCTTCACTAATGCCCAGCCGGGCGCCATAGACTTTAATAAGATGTCCCAATCCCCACAGGCAGCGGTGGCATCACGGCTCCAAGCCAAACCTACTAGAGGTCGATCTCTTAGAGGGCCGAGCGGCGAAGTTCGGCCAATCCATCCTATCCTGGATTCCTTATTTAAGCCCAAAAGGCTTAGCAGGTCAAGCGCGACAACGGCATCAGTCGCGATGTGATGTGTTTTTTAGCCTTGCCAACAATCCTTGGTATCGCTAGCCGGGCTATCTTCTTGTTGCATTGCCCCATTCGCTAAAGCAAAACTATAAACTACATTCCGCTCAAAGACAAAAACTGGATCGGTTCACTTCCACACGTAGCAGCACCCTAGCTCAAAGCTCCCCGGAAGGAAGTTTAATGGCTTGACACCAAATCCTTGCCTCGAGACCATAGGATAGGACAAGCGGTGCTGCTCCGTATTAGGTAGGGCTAAGTAGGGCTGAGTTTGTTTTGCTCAAGACGGCCATGTTAGTTACGTGGAGGCTATCCCTGCTTCAATCAGCGTCAAAAGCGGAAATTCTTTTTGATCAACTAGGTTTATTTCCTGGTTGCCTTACTCATTTAGGGCTTAGTCTGACTTTTGCATCATGAAATTGCGTAGAGTCATGTGCGAATCTCCAACTAGTTCGGATTCAAACATGACCGCTAGACTGGACTAGAGACTGCCTCTTGCTGAGCCTTTCAAACTAGGCGGGTCTGGTTTACATGTGCAAAAAGTTAGGACTAGTGAGTAGTTCTACTGAAACGGTTTCAAAGTATTAAAAGCCTTACAGGCCTGCCTGATGGAGACTACTTCATAGGGATCGATCCGGAATACCGCTTTATTATCAGGGAAGGATGACTTTCATTATGACTACACATTGCTTTTAAGCCGAATGCATGTTACGAAATGCAGTGATACGGAAACTCTTTTTATGGTTCTAATCCATGCGCATAGTCGCACTCATGAGAGTCTCTTTTCTTGTAAATGAGGACCACCTATCCTTTCCGAAATCGACAAAAAGTATGCTTTCAAGGGCAGTCTACTAATCGGTAAGCATTCCTTTAGGGCATTCATCCAATGTGGAATGTCTAGTGTCTACCGTACTTGAAAAGACTTCCTTTGGTCGAGTACCTTCGTTCCTTTAGAACCTCTTCCTGGCTACTCCACCCGGATGGGTGCCACAAACACAGCTTGTACTGGCTAAACATCTCCTATCTTT